GGGGACAGGGGGGCGGCAGGGGTCCATCCCAAGCCGAGTCCTTCCGGGGGGGGGCGGCCGTCTCCCCGTCCCCTTGCAGGGGCTGCGTGAGCCCCATGGAGGAGCGGGGGCCAAGATGAGCGAAGGGATAGACACCCTCGGGCCCCCCTTAGCTGCCGAGTGCATTGTCCATAGAGGGAAATCCCCAAATCACTGCGCTGACTGCATCCTAGGCCCTGCTGTGTCCCAGCGCTGCCCTCTCTAGCGGAGAACGAGAGCCATCCGGACAACACCCCAACCATCCCCCAGCGGAGTGGAGTGGAGCCAAGGCTCTTGCCCAATGCAATCGCCCTTGGGGGCTGTGCTAAGAAACATGCCCAAGGTCACTGCAGGGGTCAGTGGCAGTGCCAGGATTGGCGGATTCTCCAGCGCGGTGCAAGGCCACTCCGATCCCAACGGTTTGCAGCGCCTCGGCTGCCTCCTACAATGGCCCCGAGGGTGCTGGGCGAGCCGTGAGGGCCCCTGGGGGGAGACTGCCCCCCACCTCAGCCCCAAGCTGGCCGGCCGGCCTGCCCCTTGGGCACATCGAAGGCCTGGGAGCCGTGGCCCGACGGCCGCGAGCCACATCTCGCTGCTGTGCTTTGCCACGTTTTCTCGGCGGCCTGCTCCTCTGCTTCGCATTTGGATGATTAAAGGCTCCGTGCAGTCCAGGAATGTGCGGCTCTGCCCCTCCCGCCCCTCCGCTACTTGCCACTTCCTGCCTGCAACTAATTTACCATCCCCAGAACCCTCCGCAGGAAACATCCCTGCGCGGAGCCGGCGGGAACGGGACGCCGCTCCGACGCCGGGCTCTCAGCGGCCCCTGGTGCTCGCCGAAGGGGCAGCACGAGCATGGGGAGAGGACAAGTTAAATGCGACTTGGAGCTGGGCCGTGGGGGGCAGGTTACACGCAGAGGCCTCGGGGCCTTCTGCCATCAGCCAGCCCCACTTTGAGGACCCCTGGGAGCAGAGCGGATGGTCTCAGGGTGACAACGGTCCACTCAGCTCTTCTTAGGTGCCCGACACGCTGGCGAGGAAGGGAAGGGAACAGGGCAGGAGGCCTGGAGAGGCTAAGGGAGGTGCCCGGGGTTGCACGGGGAGTCTGTAGCAGAGCAGACGGGTCCTTTCAGTCCCCTAAAGGCTGCACCTGACTTTCCCCCTCCATCTTCAGTGAGCCTGCCCAGCAAGTGGTGTGCCCCTTGCACAGTGGCGGGGCCATTTCCCCCCTGGCTCTTTGTACCGAGGTGCACAACTTGTTTGCTCTTCGGGGTGGGGAGTTGTGGGAAGGCACTGGAGGACCATTAGTGCTCATGGGATTTCTGCCAGTCCCATCCCTGGCTTCCACCCCTATCCCCTGCTAAATTTGCTCAGGCTCAAAGCATCCCCTCCACCCCCCATCTCCGATCCCGGCCTGTGCAGGGTTGGGAAAAAAAGAGGGGTAAGAGGCAGGTTAGCTCTGTGACGATTCCTTGCCCTAGGGACGTCTCCAGGGAGCTTGGCCCTCCCTGCCTGACCCTGCTGCTTTGAAGGGCAAGGTCCAGGTTTAGCAGCGGCTGATAAATGATGGAAGAAACCTGGGCCTGCTTGGCTCCATTGGTGCTTGGATGCAGGCAAGCCGGCTGCAAATTGGGCGGCTTTCATCAGAGCAAGCCTACGAAGGCACCGGCGCGGTACCACTCACGTGCCCATGAACTCCAGCGTGGCGGCGGTGGTTGCCTGGGCCACAGCCTGGATCTCCTGCATGCCGCTGCAGCCGTAGGGGGTTCCGCAG